TCTATTTTCAGTATTCGCGTGATCAACTGTACGGCACAAACATAATTGATGTAGCACATAGCATTGCTCGTTTAATCCTATTGTTAGATGTATAAGCTATTATTTCCATATTTTCGGTCAAAAAATGTAATGATTATTCTAAGAAAGCAATTATTTGCATGGAATAACTTAATCTCTATGAATATATTTTGCCATTTTCAAATAAATAATTTGTTTCATTGTTTGTATACATTGTAACCAAATAATATATTATTTAATTGAAAGATATTACTTCAAATAATAATGTTATTTCTGTCAAGCAATAGAGATTTCTCGAATGAAACAACAAAATTTTTATTCGAACAAACAATATTTCGTACAAGCATATGTTGTTTCAATAAAACAAATTTTAGTCAAATAAATAGGAATACTAAATCCAAAGAAACCTTTTTCTCTGTGCATGGATAGCGAATTTCGCATATTAGCATGGATATATGAAAACGTTAATAATTAATTCTAGAAAATGATATATCGTATTGTAACTTTATTACACATGGTTGAATTTGTAAAAAAATAATCTTTACGTTGGTAAATAAAAAAATTAAAAATTAAAAAAATTACGGATGGTGGGTGTATTTTGTTAAACAAAAAAAATTGTTTTTTTCTTTATAACTTTAAAGTACTCTTGAAATCACAACTTTGATTTAAAAAATTTTTTTCGTTTTTTAGATTTTCGTGTTTTACAATATATTTCATGGAGAATCAAATCGGTTCCCGACAGTTGTGAAACTTCCCTTATAAGTTGGCCCTTTTCAGGACCACCACCATCATCTCCACTGTACATATACGTGTAAATATACATTGCAAATAGCCTCACATACAAGTCTCATTATTTCGACGAACCTCTCCAACCTGTGACCTTTGCGACCTTAGCGACCTTAGTGACCTTTACTGTTATAGGCGACAGTGAGGCTGAAGACGACGGCCGCTGTAATCCGCTAGTACACACGCAACCATTACCGCCATAATACGATTTTACTCTATCACTAAAGACTTTATTGCTAAATATTTACTTATTAAATAATAAAGGTTTAAAGGCTCATTTCAATGAAACTTGAAAACATTAAAATTATAAAATTTTTTTTACAACTACTACAGGCACGATCTAATAATGCATTTTCCATTATATAATTTTCAACCTAAGAGCAATAACTTTGCTCTAACTCATTCAAAATGATGAATTCAACAAATAGCATTTATTAGCTTAGCAGAAACGTCTCATATTTCATAATAGGGACCTTTTCTCTGTCATCTAATAAAAATCAGTTAATATTGTCTAACAGCTTTTAGAATTATTATGGTTAATTATTTTTGCGCTATGTCGTTATTGTAATATAATTTTAACATTAATCAATTATTATGTTATGCTACAAAGATTACACTAGTTTAAATCCAAAAATTACTTTGGACCGGACTACGTGTCTTTTATAGATTTTTGGATGCTGAAAACACAATGCCGCAAGCGAAAAAATTCTAGCACGTCGGATTTCCAAGATAATTGAGGTTTAATACTTAAAAAATAGCTTTTTTGCGATATTTGACAAATGATATTTTTTAATAATGACGGTTAACGTTATCTTGAAATTTCGATCAGGAGTGTATTGTCATGAATATATTGTACATCCCCTATAAAATGCATATTTTTTTATTTTGATACCTTACTTTTTAGCCATGTTATGAACGACTAAACATAGGAGCTATTTCGAATATGGTGACTTCGGCAGCGTCATATGTGTATGCGGATTAATTTCTTAGGGTCACATTTTGATAACTGTACCTTAATGCACAGAATTATGAGACTTTTATGCACAGAATTATGAAACTAATCCACTGGTATAATAAAAATACATCGTTACTGAAAAAAAATGCAATTAATAATATGCAACTACACATCTTTCATAAAACAACTCTCTCTCTCTCCCCCCTCTTTCTCGCCTCCCCTTTCTCTTTCCCCTCCCCCTCTCTCTCTCTCTATCTCTTTCTATATGTGTGTATGCGCGTTGTTGTTTTAAAATGATTTTAGCATGCGCATATGACGCTGCCGCGGTCCTCTATTCGAAATAGCTCTTATCTTTAATCGTTCATAACATGGCTAAAAAGTGAGATATTGAAATTTAAAAAAATGCATTTTATAGGGGATGAATAATACATTCATGACTCCCCTGATCGAAATTTCAAGATAACGTTAACCTTCTTTATTAAAAAATGTGAAATATCGCAAAAAAGGCATTTTTTAAGTATTAAACATCAATTAAACATCAATTAAACTTGGAAATCTGACGTGCTAGAAATTTTTCATTTGCGGCATCATTTTCAGCATTTAAAAATGTATAAGAAACACGTAGTCCGGTCCAAAGTAAATGAAAAAAAAATTTTTGTGTAAACTAGTGTTATTTAAAAAATTGAGATTTTAATTTATCAAACTATTTTTTTATGAAACTATTTTTTGAACTAAGTGATTTAAAAATTTTTAATTTCTCAATTAATTTAACTTTCATAATGTTTAAATTAAAGCTATATTTATCTAAACTTGAATTGATCATTACATTTTGGCAAGAACTGTTGTCGCCGGTACGCCCAGAGGGTAAAAGCCACGTAGACACCGAATGTCGAGATTTGCATGAACGACCAAATATAGATGCACGTTAGAAACTTTGCGAAACCAGTCCTTATTGTATTGGTACCAACGCGAATCCTTTAAGAATCAATAATAAAAAAGGGAAATTGAACTATAAGAACCAAAGATTAAAAGGAAACAAATATGTCGCGGAAATTAAGTAATTAATTGAGTTGTCTAATAACACTGCCCGACGTTTTAAGACTTTTTCTGCTGTTTGAATAAAAGATACGACTTCCGATGTATTTTCGCGCGCTGAACATGAATCCGGTAATGCAATTGCTCTATCACGTCACGTTTTTGAGAAAAGTGAAGTTAAAACTATCAAAATTGACGTTTTTTGACATATTTGTAATTTTTTTGCTAGTGAAGTAAATTTTTTTTTCTACTTTCGTTTACGCCATCTTAAAGTGCCAACTTTTATCTTTAAAATATATTTTTTTTAACACTGCGTTTTTTTTTCACCGAGATAATTTCTGCAGTCACGCAAAGAAAAACGTTCTGTGCCAAAAATGTTTTCGAAGAAAAAGTTTGTGTAATGATTTTAGTAGCAAAGTTTTTAAGGTCACTAAATTCGAATTTAAAGTCAAATTTTTGAAATTCAAAATGAAGGATTCAATATGGCGGAAAAACTTGTCATTGCAAAAAATTTTTATCACAAAAATTTGTCATTTGCGCTTTAATTTATTTAAAAAAATATTATTTACAATATTAATTTTGGAATTTTAAACATTTATAAAAAAATTTCAAATTTAAATTAAGTAAAAAAATTATTGTAAACAATTTTAAAACTTTAAAATACATGTATAATGAAATTGTAATAGTATTTATTTATCAAGACGGGAGAATCTTTTCAAGATACATTAGTATCATTTCAATAGCATTTTATGGTTTAATTCGATTATAACAACTAATCATGAGTTTCATTTAATGTTTCGTTATATAATATATAACATATATCAAAACTATATTGAAAACCCATAATAACGCGTGGTTCGAGGATCCGCCATGTCTCTATCCATATATAATAACAAGATATATCCCCACCAGTATTGTTAGACGAGCCGGATTTCAGATGCATGCGCG